CCTCTGATGCTACAGGGAAAATAGCCCCAGCCTATTCAGCTTCTCCCTATAGCTCAAACCCACCAACCCTGGCAACATCTTGTAAATTTTTCCTGAACCTTTTCAAGTTTCACAACATCCTCCCTATAGTAGGGAGACCAGAATTGCTTACAGTATTCTAAAAGTGGCCTAACCAATGTCCTGTACAGCAGCAGCATGACCTCCCAACTCCTCTACTCAATGCACTGCCCAATAAAGGCAAGCATACCAAACACCACCTTCACTACCGTGTTTACCTGTGACTCCACTTTCGAGGAACTCTGAACCTGCACTGCAATGTCTCTGTTCAGCAACACTCTCCAGAACCTTACCAATAAGTGTATAAATCCTGCCCTGATTTGCCTTTGCGCATGCAGCGCCTCACATTTATCTAAGTTAAACTCCATCTGCCACTTTTAGGTCCATTGGCCCATCTGATCAAGATCCCATTGTACTCTGAAGTGACATTCTTCTCTGTCCACTACACCTCTACTTTTGTCTTTTAAATCTTCCTCCTCTCACCTTAAAAAATTTGTCCCCTAGTCTTGAAATCCTAATCTTGAAAGTTGATTCTGATCATAATGCTTCTTTGTAAATCCCATGTGCTGGCATTTTCACCCACATCAGTGTCCACATTAAAAATGCACATTCAGCATTTAAACTTACAAATAGTGCTTGAGTTCTTCATGTAGCTCTATTATTGTGACTGACGGTGTTTGCCTAAGATATTTGTGACCATGAAACCACAATCCTGTTTTGAAGATCGGAAGTTATTAAGTAAATGCAACAGGCATCAAAGTAAGTATATAAAATGCCAGCACTGTCAACCAGAATGTAAAAGAACTGGTTGCATTTGGTCCCTCAAATACTAACTGCTGAGTTAGCTGGCATTTTTGATTTGCTGGCACCAGCTGATCCCAATGTGTGAAGGAAAACATGGATCTTGCTGTCTATGTAAGAAACTGCACACATTCTTAAGAACTCCAATATGTGTACATGGGCAACAAAAGACTTTCAGACTTTACAAAAATGTTTTATTGTAAATCTGTTGTGTAGAACAAACGTCTGTTTCCACCTTTTCCTTTTGAAGCTAACATCCAACTGGGGAAGAACTTGGCTTTTTAAAGTTTAATACCAATCAACCTATTTTTAAAAAAAAAAACACTGTCCACAATAACAAGGGAGGGGATTAAATCAAAATAATATCAGAGGAAGAAATAATGCACTGCAGGCCTTGCAGTGTACATTTCTCTCTCAAGACTTCAAGAATTCAGCTTTCATTTTTGAAATATCCAATGTCAAATCAACTAAGTAACTAACAAATAACAAACACTGTCGAACTGTTGCACCAACAAACAAAACAAAAAGGTGGGGAAATGAGGGAGGGAACTAAATCGAAATATTGTTGGCGGGAGAGATAATGCACTCCAGCCTAAGCAGTAGCTGTCTTTTTCTAAAAGTTTAAAGAACTCCACTGTTAGATATTCTTTAATCAATCTGTTCAGATGTGTTATGACACATCTAAATCAGAGGTATGGACACTACCACTGCACCACGAAAGCCTTTTAGAACTCAGCTTTTTTTTTTTCCCATACCTACCACCAACTCACCTGTTTCAGAACTCAACTCTCTTTTATAATCAACCTGCTCAGGGTTATGACGTGCCTCTGGAGTGAATTGAACCTGGGCCTTCCAGCTCAAAGGGAGGGACACTATCCCTATCACCAAAAGAGCCCTAAAGATTTCGGCTCATTTTTTGAAACCCACCTTCAAATCAACCTGACTACTTAACTCTAAGTATTTTCTTATCAACCTGTTTGGAAATGAGAAAGCTGTCCCTTTTTCTTAAAAAAAATTAAACCACTACCAAATCACCCAAGCTATCAACTAAACAGCATTTTAACAACACTGCCTACAGGGGTAATATAACAACAACAAAAATAGGGGAGGGGACTAAAGTGAGTTAGAAGGGGATATAATGCATTCCAGCCATTCCCCCCCCCCCCCGCCTCTTCAAAAACCCCAAAACCTAGTGCCTGCCACTCTAAAGGCATCAAGTGTGTTGGTGGACACCATGTGCTCTCTCACTAAGGACATCCAGACCCAAAGTAGCCACAGGGGCGGGCAGGCAGGCAGAATTAAAACCAACTAACCTGGACCTGTTGATAACCACCTTGGCCAGGCCCTGTAGGAAGTCCTCTGCTGTGCCCACACTCCTGGAGACTGGGTGCCCAAAGATCAAGAGCATGGGACTGATGTGTAACCAAAAGAGCAGCAAAAGATTTCTAAGATAATTCAACTGGGTGCAGTTGCCCACACCCAACTTATACATGGCCCACAGAATCCAAAGCAGTGAATGAACAACTGATTTGGGGGTCCATAAGTTTATGGTTTATGATTGCTTTGGTGTGCTGTATGCAAACACTCACTACGCTAGGCCCCAGTGAGAACTTGGCCTTTTTTTTAGTAATAATTGATTAGCTCAGACCTCTGCTGTTTTGCTTCAGCCTGTTCAGAGATGGTGTTATGTACCGCTGGAACTGGTGAAACTTGAACCCAAGACTTCCTGGCTCAGAACTGGGCTTTTTCTTTTTTGTCAAACAGTCTGTGCAGATATGTTACTGATTATGTCTGCAGCAGGTGGGATGTAAACCCAGGCCTCCTCGATCAAAGGTAGGGACACACTACCATTGCACAACAAGCACCTTTAGAACCGAGCACTTTTTGATAACCCTCCACCAATAAGTAGTTGAAACAACCAAACAATAACAATTAACAAGATCCTCCCACAGTGAGCAATGCAGCAACTACAAAAATAGGGAAGGTAGGAAGAGAAGGAGGAAACAAAATTGAAATGTCATTAGAGAGGGAAATAATGCAGTCCAGCCCCTGCAGTGCTGACCTCTCTCAAATCATGAAGATGTTGGTGTAGAACCAGTATTTTTTTTATATTTTCTAATCGATCTGCTCAGGGTTGTTATTACTCACCTCCAGAGCAAATGGGGTTTGAACCTGGATGACCTGGCTCAGAGCTAGGACACTACACTGTGCTGCAAGACCCTTCATAGAGTCAGAGTTATGCAGTATTGACACAAACCCTTCGGTCCAACTTGTCCACGCTGACCAGATGTCCTAAACTGATCTAATCCCGTTTGCCAGCATTTGGCCTATATCCCTTTAAACCCTTCCTATTCATATACCCATCCAAATGTCTTTTAAGTGTTGTAATTGTACCCACCTTCACCACTTCCTGTGGCAGTTCATTCCATACACGCACCACCCTCTGTGTGAAGCTTTTTTATATTTAAACCACCACGAAATCAGCTGTGTCGCTAATTAAACAATTAATAATTTAGAAGCACTGCCATGAAGGGCAGTACAATAAAAATAGGAGAACTAACTTATTGCTTTTGTATACCCACAACCAAATCATACATATCAAAAATGCAGCTCTTTTTTAGATCAGCCTGTTGAGATGTTATCTCACATCTCTAGAGCAGGTGTGAGTTGAACCCAGGCTTCCGGGCTCAAACACCACTGCTGTATCACATGAGCCCACGAACTCAGCCTTTTTAGTCTTGAAAAGATATTTTAATCATCCTGTTCAGAGATGTATTGCATATTTCTGGAGTAGGTAGAACTTGAATCTGGGACTCCTGGTACAAAATCCAAAGTGGATCACCTGTTGTCATCAGTTCCTTACCTGTTTAAGCCTGTAAGGGAACCTGCATTTCTAACTCTGACATTTTATGCCATTTTATTGAAGGGTGGTTAAATTTCCCGTGATTGATTATTCATCCCTGTCTTAGACTTCATCAGTTAAGCAATGAACTGATAAATAAGAAGTTGCTTACAGAAAGACACATTTGAAAATATACTTTCTGTTTCAGAGCTTTCTCTTCTAGATCTATTTTCTGTTTGTTATGTAACAAACATGGTAAAAGCAGCAATCTGTTATGCTCCCCCTCAATGCCATGTGCATATTAACTTCTCCTGTTCCAAGGTTAGGTCTTTTGGGTTTGGCAGTATATGTGTGACTCGTAATCTTTGAGGTTCATGCATCTACCCATCCTGAATGAGGTCGCCATTTCCCACTTGGATACTATTGTACTCTTGTTAATTTAAAGTCATCTTTTGCTTGGATAAAGATTTAAATTATTCAGCGTTTTGAATTGAAATTAATTTAATAAGAACACAACAGATATTTGAACACAATTGAATTAATAGAATTCTAACAAGCTGATGATTCAAATTAAACAACTTCAAATTATGGACTATACTTGGCAATAAAACACTAAGACAATCATAACAGGACTAGTACTGCTCCATAATCCTCTTTGCTAAGGAATTGTAGAATGTTCCTGCATTGTCCATAGTACATACCATTTTATACCCTCAACTAAGTATTTCTAAAGTATTAATGTAAAAACAAAGGAAGAGATCGGAGTGGTGGTGCAGTTATCTGGGGAAATAAATGAAACTGGAGAGTAATTACTGCCTGGTCATCTAATTGAACATTGTACATACAATGTTTCGAAAGATTGTTCAGAAATTTGTGAGCCCTACGAAAGTCTGAATTAATACAAGAAGATCAGTTATTCAGACTGTTTTAGATTGCCTTGCTTCCCCCAGAAACTGTTGAGATTATTTGTCTTCTGTTTTTGCGTAAGTAATTCTTAACCCTAGGGCGATACATGGCACCAGGATATCAGGTGTTGAAATCTCAACACGATTCACCTAAATTTGTAAAAATGGGCATTGATGCTGTGATACCACCTTAACCATTCGTCTTTACTAGAAGCAATTTAGAATTTGTTTTCTGTCACTTAGCACTTGTTGATTATATTTCACTGTTTCACACCTTATCACTTGTAAAGTTCAGAATTGAGGAAATTTTGTGTGGGCTGGATGTTGAGCAGCACTGGGTACCTGTCAGTCAGCTCACTGTATAATTGTTGCCTTTCCATTTTTTTCCATTATAGAAATGGTAAAGGATCCGGAGGAGGTGGTAAACAAGTATATGATGAGAATAGAAGAAATTCCAGATGAGGTGAAGTCAAAATTTTATTGCCAGCTACTTGTGACTTTTATTATTAAACATGAAGATATTCAAATGCAAATAATTCCAAACCAGAAGTTTCCTTTTTGTAGTTTGTCTTACCTACTGCAATTGCATAACATGGCTGTCCTAAAAAGGTTAAAACTGCTATTTTACTCCTGCACCACCACCCTACCCCCACAGAAGTTGTAGGGATATCATTCTTTGTGAATCATCTCCATTTGTTGTTTTACTTTTTTAAATAACTAAAAGTTTTTTTTTTTCCCCCCTGCACTGTGTTCAGTTCAGGAATATATTGGGTGGGGATTGATATTTGATACATTTAGCAGAGCTCCAGGGTTAAATCAAATCACTTTACTAAGTGACCCAGGAAGACTTGATGAAGGTCATGCAAAAATAGCTTGCCTAAATGGGACCAAAACAAAACACACAGTTTTCTTCAACAGGCCAGACCTGAGAACAAGATGTGGATTTATTTCTTTAGCCCTAACAACAACTGTATGACCATACAATTGGAATGTCAGTGCACATCTGAATTATAGACTGTATGCCACTAGCTAGCCAATTTCTTCGAATGAAGGTATTTTATTACTGTATTGTACAAAATCTTTCTACAGGTCATGGCACTGAGGGAATACAGATATGTGTTTGAGGCTTTATACAATTTTACAGTTACACCTGGTTAAGTTAGATCATATCTAGTCATGAATCGTGATTATGTCGCAAATGCAGTAGTCCTCTCGAAGACCAATCTTCAAAGCATGTTCACACTCATCTCACGGATGCGACTGTTTGGGTATGTTTATGGGAAAGAAGGGTGGATGTGTACGCTAGGAATTTAGTATGATGAGGTAACTTAGAGATGTATCACTATTCCTTCACTGTTGTGGATCGAAAATCCTGGCATCCCCTAATGGTATTGTGGGTCAAGAAGGCAGTTCATCTTCTCAAGGGCAACTAGGGACTGGCAATAAATGCTGGCCAGCTAGTGACACCCGTTTTTTTTTTTTTTTTTTTTTGTTTAATTTTTCTTTGAAAAGCTGGGCCAGAAGAGCAGGGTGCTCAAAGCTCTACATCAAAGATTTCTGAAAGCAGCATGTGAAGGCCCTAAACACAAAATTACACACCTGGTGACATTAACCAGGAGCAGAGGAAAACATTGATATTGCCGATGGGCAGAGTGGATCACCACAACAATCGGTGGCTACAGTAGCTTGGCAACAGATACCAACATTGAAAGCAACAAACCACAATAACATTAGATAACCACGTCATATGGCGAACTTGTAGCAGAACCCTGCCTGTTAGGCTTTGGTTTCTTCAGTCATTAGTAGAAGTACATCATGTAAAACTACTTCATCCCCTGTGAATTTTCTGCATGTCTGTTGCCTTGAGTAGATTGAAGGGTGCTTGGGCATAGGATAGGGAAAGATTCTGGATCGAGATAAAACAGAATGTATGCAGTGGGTTGTTGCAGCCTTGCCTCAGGACCCTTAGTAGTACTTATTCAGTTCATATGTGTGAGATCAAAAACTGTAATATGCTTATACCAGAAACTTGAAATATATGTTTGTTCTTTGTTTTTCTTTGAAGTATACTTAAGTTCCAGTTGACAGATATTTGCTCATCAGAGCCCGGAAATTAATTCCGCCCATTTAATCTTTTGAGGTTTCTAGCATTGGTTTAAGCTGTTAACATTTTTCCATTTGTTAAATGGGACTGAATTCTTGTGGTACAGTGGTAATGTCCCTACTTTTCAGCCAGAAGGTCTACATTCAAGTCCTAGCTGCTCCAGAGATGTGTCATAACATATCTGAATGGGTTGACTAAAAATGGGATGTTGTCGGTTGCATTGACTTTGCTTTAATCACGAAATGTTTCATTGTTTTTCCATTGTTTTAACACTCTAGGCCTCTTCTGTGTTACATTGAGATAGAACAAATAAACGTAGCTGTTCACTTTATTGTTCTATAATTAAGTAAAAAAACAAAGAACTCAAATCTAATTTAGCATCCCAATATTTTGCCAAAGCATTTTCAAATGAGTGGAACAAAAACAGAAATTGCTGGAAAAACTCAGCGGGTCTGGCAGCATCTGTGGAGAGAAAGCGAAGTTAACGTTTCGCGTCCAGTGACCTTTCTTCAGAACCCAGCAATGATTTTCCTGCAATTTTTCCTTTTCTTTGATTTCCAGCATCTGCAGCTCTTTTTTTTTATTCCAATGAGAGGATTGTGTTTGAAGCACAGTCACAGTTGCATGGGTAAACATGGCACCAAATTATCACAGATTCACAGACAACAAACGAATGGAAGTTTGAAAGTGTGACCGAGATGGATTTTGGGCAAGGAGTCAGGAAAACAATAAAATACCATGCTCCCTTCAGTAGTACACAGACTATATGCTGATGTTTGGAGCAAAATTTGAAGGCAGAACCTGTAGGCTAAGATGTATAATAACATGCCTGAACACCGTATGCTACCAGGAAAGCCAAGCTGATGCTGTAAAGGTCATTTCCATTTTCTTGGAAAATAGGGATCTGTGGATCAATCTGAGACTATTGGTTGAAAGTTTCAACTAACTTGTTGCAACTCCATTTTCTGGCACACACATTGAATCAATCCTTCTATTTAATTACGGTGACTGCACATTCCTAAGAATTCTAAAGTAGTGTGCACCAGGAAAATGGTGTGATACATTGCAGGCCCTGAACTGGATATCAGTATAGTATCCTCAAACCTACTGAATGTTGAGATTTTAAAGCTATATATTGATCTTTTTTGTGTGTATTTTAGGATTGTATAATCTGCATGGAGAAGTTGAGTGCCTTGTCTGGCTATGATGGAATGTCCAGGTCAAGAACCATTCGGCCGGGTACAGTGGGGAAGTTCACAAGATGTGGCCATGTCTTCCACTTATTGTGTATGATGGCCATGTATGAAAATGGAAACAAGGTACAGAAAACTGTCATGCTACTAGCAATAGTGCAGCAGTTTTTTGTTTCAAAGGGGAAGTGGTGGTGTACAGGTGATGTCACCGGGCTAGTAATCCAGAACCCTGGGCAAATGTTTTGACCATGTGAATTTGAATCCCACAACCTCAGGTGGTGTAATTTGAAGCCAGCAAAACTCTGGAATTTTAAAATAAAGCTGGCCTCATGGCAATCACGATTTATTGTCATAAAATTTAACTGTGACAGAAAGCAATCTACTGTCTTTACTTGGTCTGTGCCTCCGGACCTACAGCAGTGTTGCTGACTCTTAGTTGCCCTCTGGACAATTAATAAACAGCTAGCAACATCCCAATGACAGAAGTGTCATTACAATCTTCCCTGCAGGGGCTGAGTCATCTTTAGATAGGATATTGAGAGTGATAAGCATTGATTTTGCACTGGTTCTACAGCAATTTTTGGGGTGTTTGTTCCTTTCCAAAGTGCCCTTCTTTATTTCTGCTTTCTCCCCCCACTTAATCATTCATTGTTTTTAATGGCTAATGTTAGTGATTGTGATATGTTGCTAAAAGAACTGTTGTAAAGTTGGGCATAACTCTTTTTTATTAGCACATCAGCTGAGATGTTTTAACTGCACTCAGATCAAATCAGGGGCCTTGCTTATCCACTTTCCTTAATGCTCTGTAGGAGGATCATATGAATGTTAAACATTGTGGACTAGTGCATTGTGGTAAGAAAATTTGTTATTCCAGAATAGTGTCATCATTTCAGATTAGAGAATTTTGTTAAGAAACTGGATTAATTCATTTCAGGATGGCAGTTTACAGTGTCCTTCATGTAAGACCATCTATGGTGAAAAGACCGGAACACAGCCAAAAGGAAAGATGGACGTTTATTTACTACCACAGTCACTGCCTGGATATCCAGACTCTGGATCTATACAAATTGTATATAATATCCCTCATGGTATTCAGGTAACTACTTCTCCTGAGTCACTTGCGATAATAGAAATTTTGGTTCCTGAAGATTCAAATTGACTACCTCGCACGTAGGTTGTGGGAAAGCAAGATTTTCTTATCATTCACATTTTTGTGTGTTCAAAACAATCTGGGCTTATTGCAATAATTTGAACTCAGTTAGTAGATATTTTACTGTTTAAATGAATTCCTCAATGCTCATCAATAGACTATTAATGTTTCAGGACTATTCATACTTGCATTGTACCAATCCGTTACCTATGGTCATACAACTGAGTTACTGTGTCTGCAGTTTGTGTGATGGAAGTTTGAGTTTATAGTTGTCAGAAGCGGGGGGATTGATGCTCAAGTTAAATTCATTCATCATCAAAAGTTCACTGCAGCCAGATTTCAAATAATATCCAAACTTAAATGATAAACCTGATTCATTCTTTAATTATTTACTATGTGCCTTGGTGCAATTCAATAAAATTGGTATCAGAATTTTTTTTGCAATGAAGATAGTTTTACTATTTCTGTTGCATTAGTTTCCACCTAAGTCTGTTATGTAGAATGTGCTGTAATGGGGAAGGTGAAGAAAGGCAGGTATCACATGTTAGAAAGTGTACCCAAATCTTATTTTATATATTCATAGAAACCTTGAGGCTGTAACATTGTTAATTACTGTGTTCTTGGGCTCCTTTTATATTAGGATGCTAATCTTGTTGCTAGCATTGGGATTGCATTATTGCTATCCTATTAGGAGGCTGGGAGATATTTAGCGCAAAGCAGTGTTTTCATGCATGGAGTATTTATGGGAGTGCTATGAGGGGAGATTGGTTCGACTGGCCCTGTATTCACTAGAGTTTAGAAGGCTGAGAGACGATCCATTTGAAACCTATAAAATCCTGACCGGGCCGGACAGAGTAGATGCTGAGAGGATTTTTTCCCTGGTTGGGTGAGTTAGAATCAGGGAACACAGTCTCAGGATATGTGGCAGACCATTTCAGACTGAGATGAGGAAAGATTTTCTCACTTAAAGGGTAGTGCACCTGTGGAATTCTCTACCACAGAAGGCTATGGAGACCATATCACTGAATATATTCCATCAAGAGAAATTTTTAGATTATAAAGACATTAATAGTATTGGGGAGAAATAGGAATCTGACATTGAGATAGAGGATTTGCCATGATCATATTGAATGGGGGACCAGGCTCAGAGGGCTGAATAGTCTACACCTCCCAATTTCATTATATTAGTAATGTTAAAAATAAACTCAATTTTGAAATAAATGTCCAAGCTTTTCTGCCCAAGAGCAGCTCACCACCGCCACCTTAGGTATAGACAATAAATACTAGGCCAGCCACAGATGCTCACATCCCATGAATTAATTTTTTAAAATGTTTAAACGGCAAATTACAGCCTATTTATCTATGGAGGGCATCCCAGGTGAGCCCAGTCCAGTTCTCACCTGAAAGTCATGGTCACCCCTTTTCATTCGGGTAACAATGTGGCCGATTGTCAACCTCCGTCTGAGCAATTAAGGATGGGCAATAAACGCTGGCCTGGCCAGTGATGCCCACATCCTGTCAATGTCTTTTATAAAAACAAAAGAGAATAACAGGAGCTGCAACTCCCTCTTTGCACTCCACCCTAGCTTAACTCAATAACACGGAAGTCTATTGTGCCACAACAGCCACCACAAAAGAGACCAGATAACATAGAATACACTGGCAGTTAGAATTGAGAACTGGCTGAGTTATAGGGATCTTGAACCAGGTGGTCTTAAGACATTGGGAGGGTTCATCTTCTGTTTATCACACTATTGTAATTATTTCTTTATTACAGATAAACACGCTTGAAAATTGAATGAAAGGCTGATATCTCAATTGGAAACTGCAACTGAAATTCATCTTTTTATTTACTAACATTAACCAACTTCCCTTTTCTCACAGGGTCCAGAGCACCCTAACCCAGGCAAACCATATACTGCTCGTGGCTTCCCCCGGCACTGCTACCTGCCTTACTGTGAAAAGGGCAGACAGGTAAGATACAGGGTAACTGAGTGAATTAAACTGCTTTAATGATTTAAAGAACACATCAATTGAGTATTCCTGAAACAAGAACACATTTCATTGAAGCTTTTCATTTTACACTGATCTGGGCAATTCACAAGAAATACCAACGTAAGAGGCAAGTAACATTTATACAGTATGAGAGAGCAGAGTTGGCAAGAAGACTGGTGGAGATTTTGCCATGGAGAATGTAGCAGTTAATGATGACTGTCAGTTCAATTATTAAGCTAGACTCTGGGTAATGGATTACCTTGAGGAGTGAACTAGAGAATGGCTGTCATTTTGTTGAATTAAAACCGGTAAACTGTACATATTCTTTCTGTCTGCAAAGGTAATACTAGTTGCATTGGCTATAAATCCCAAAACTAGATTATATCAAATGCAGAGGTAGTAGGAACTGCAGATGCTGGAGAATCTGAGATAACAAGGTGTAGAGCTTGATGAACACAGCAGGCCGAGCAGGAAAGCTGACGTTTCGGGCCTAGACCCTTCTTCAGAAATTTCTGAAGAAGGGTCTAGGCCTGAAACGTCAGCTTTCCTGCTCTTCTGATGCTGCTTGGCCTGCTGTGTTCATCCAGCTCTACACCTTGTTATCTTATATCAAATGCATATCCCTTTGGCTGTTTGGATGCACTCTATACCTCACTTGTTGCAATCCACCTGAGATTGCACAACACAAAACAGTGTCCAACATTAGATGTGATTCCACAATTGGAAGACATCTGCTCAGTCATTGAGTGTTTGAGCAATAATGCTGGTCACCAGTTGTCAGTTGGGCTTGCAGTGTGGCACATTTATGTTTTGGGAGCTACATTAATGCCAAGGGCCGCCTTTTTGTTGCAGAATATTCTGACGAGTGAAAGAATTGCTTCAGCAAAATCGCCTTCTTTTGTTTAAGCAATACTCAAATTCTGTACTACCAAAATACTATTTGTAATCCATAAAGCACATAATAGTTTGTGATTGCCCCCCGTTCTAACGTTGGTATTGAGTAGGTTTTCCATTTTGTAGTTGAGAAATTTGGATTAATTCCAAGAATGTAATCTTATCAAGAGAGCATAGAGTTTTTTTTTCTCGAAAAAATCGATCATTTACTCCATGAGGGTGCTCTGGTTATGCACCCTTTGATGGGTTCTGCGGGCTGTGCTGATAAAGGCCTCCTAAGCACAGTTAGAAGTCAGAAAGGGGTTCAATCCTAGGGTACCCTGATTAATTTCTTTTTATTAGCAGTCTTACTGAAAAGCTATGTGCTTACTTCTTCCAGGGAATGAATGCAAACTGAATTGAATCTCATATTTCAGGTTCTGGAGCTTCTCAAAGTAGCATGGAACAGAAGACTGATTTTTACTGTGGGAACGTCAAGCACAACTGGGGAAACGGACACCGTGGTTTGGAATGAAATTCACCATAAAACAGAGATGGGGTCCAATCTATCAGGGCATGGGTACCCTGACCCCAACTACCTGGACAATGTCGTTGCAGAGCTGGCTGCTCAGGGCGTCACAGAGGAATGTCTTCGGCAATAATTGAACATGTTTTGGGAGGCCTTTCAATCCAGTGCTGCCTGTCAAAAGGGTCTGAACTTCTGCACTTCTCTTTAGTGCAAGCTGTGTTTTCATTTTCCTTCCTCCTGTTTTTTTTTTAAATGCAGAATCAATTTCGATAGCTGTCCGTGGTGAAGCAGGGGTGCACAGGTTGCATATCCTAAGGCCAGACGTCTCTTGTTGCAGCACCAGTGATTTTCGGTTCAAAGCGAGACTTAGCTGAGCTAGACTCGCATGTTTCTCCTTCTCTTCCCCTCTGTTTCCCCATCTCCTCCTGCTGGCATCTTGGAACGCTTCCAATGCATGTTTACATAACATTGGCCAACAAAAGCTTGAACAAATTGAATGTGGTTACAGTTTTTTGTGCATTGTCTGAGATGTTGCATTTTACCGCAGCAGCCATGTTAGAAACTGTAGCATCTGAACTTCTATGTATCCTTCTTGTTTATCGAGTTTTAACCGTAAACATTAAAATAGAACAGAATCTGATTGACAATAGAATTTCTGTAATGTGTGCACCACCAGCTGCTCAAAGTGGGGTTGGCAGTGCACTTTGTAACATGCATTATTATCTGATTCTAATGGGGTGAGGCAGTGAAATTTTGAAGCATGTTGAAATACTACCTGATCTTTGTGGCATGAGGCTGTAAAGTCCTGTGTGTTACTATTTGACTTTGGTAACAGATTGTGTAGTTTTGTGCCCAATTCTACTGCTTGTTTCATACCTGGGGCAAGGAAGTGTAATCTGCCATCAGTAAATTTGTCATTTTTCTACTGGTTTCTATTGTGCTCAGGGAAGCCTCGTAATTAAGTGATTAAGTAATAATTTTTTTCCAATGCAAAATGGTTGCACCACATTGTGTTCCATTTAAATTGCAGCATTACAGAATATTTTGGTTTTGCCTCTCATCACCAAGAGTAGCTGATAAAATAGAAATCTTCTCTGTGGCAAACACTACACTGATCAGTGCATCACTTTTCCTTTGTATTTGAAAAGCTCCACGAGTTAAGTAATGACAATTTGGGAAGTGGGATGATTTTCAAAGGTTCCATTAAGAGCAGTTGGCCATGATATTGCAACTGAACTTCACCCTTAACCTCCAACCCCTGTTGCAGTAATGATCTGCCAGTTAAGGATAAAACTACTAGGATGCAGAAGTCTGCTGCTGTCCTGAGACCAGATATTCCTGTTATCAAAGCTTGTAGCAGAAGAATGCACCAACTTAATAGAGGAAGTGGTTGGGCAAAGACTGGAAAGAGAAATTGCTGCAGTTCTTTTCATAAATGGTATGGAAGGATATGGATCAAACGCAGACAAATTGGACTAGTTTAATTGTGAAAACTGGGAAGCATTTGCAAATTGGACCGAAGGGTCTGTTTCTATGCTGTGGAACTTTGACTCTAAATATACGCAGTTTTCTCACACAATTCCTTTTTTTTTTCCCCGGTTTTGTTGCTATGGGGTATTGATTGAAATTCATTCAACTGGGGTACACTGTAATGCCAAATAGAACACATGCACAGATTTCTTGATTTAGAGATGATGGTCATAATACTTCATAAAATAATTTTCTTAAAGACAGCACATTGAAGGGGAAGAAAATGTGGAGTTTCCACAGGAGTGCCATCGATCTCCTCAAACTGGTTTCATGGAGTTTATTGATACCACTGAATTTGATATGATTATGACATCTTTTTACCAATGAGTGAATTTACATTTTTTTGTAATGTGTTAAAATCATGTCAGCATTCAGATATTGAAGTGCTAGGAATTGCAGTGGAAACAGCTGAGTGTCTGTGTTACTCAACATACCACAAAGCCTTTTTAATGTGGAGATGTGGTCCTTGGAGCCAATCCCTCCAAGCACTCTGAACTTCATAAACCCAAAAGGAAAATATGAGACACTGGAGAAACCAGTGCCTGGGCACAGATTTGCATGTTCCTGAAACTCTCATATCCTTCTGCCTACTGGGTTTTCCCCAAGTTTGATGCAATATGGAACTTTGCCATGATTGTTTCTGAGCTTAGCTTGACCAAGGCAACAAACAGTCTAAGTCAGTTCCCCAATTGATGGACAGTGCCTGCTGACCTTCAATGACCCATTCTGTCAAATCCAAATTAAATATTACAGTGATCGAGACAGGCCGTCAAAACTCTGAGCCAACCACCTTAATTAGACCCTCCGAAAGCACTATCAATCTAAATTTCCCTCCATCTTGTTTACTTCTAGATCCAAATACAATACAATACAAAAAGCCTTAAGTGGTTGAACAATTAAAGCTTTAGGATGAAATCTCTTGGTACAGGGAAGAATGGAAAGGAGTATCAAAGCAAGCACTCTCGACAACCACCACCAGCATCTCCAGATGAGCAAACTCTCCTCTTGGTGCTGCGTCAGTACACTTGCAGACCTATTGACGGTCTAATTTAACCAAATCTCGACAAGCAAATCATCCCACCATTGTGCTGTTTCTAAGAGAATGTGAAATTTTAAAACATATGCACTATTACCTGATTGTTACAGTATAAGGTACTGTTTGTGTTACTATACTATTCATTTTTGGCAACAATTCTGTGCAGTTTTGTACCCAAGTCTACATCCTGTTCTACAATTCTACATGCTTGGCTCAAGGAAATGTAACCTGCAAATGATTTTTTTTAGCCCAGGTATTGTGTTCAGGGAGGCATCAAATGACTAACTGCAATCTTAAAATAGGTACAGGTTATTTTTTGTTTGTTTTTAAAGATGTTGCAAAGCAAATTCACAGTCTCCCTCTCCTGAACATAACCGTGATGTCACACTCTACTCCTGACATTTTTTTGGTAAGGTGATTATGATTTTTTAGGCACTAAACTAGAAATAAGATAGTTATTTTGAATAGCAGTGTTTTTCTATACTTTGTCTTTTATCAACGACAGAGGCTTTGGTACTGTTTCATAGAGTTTGATTATCATTTAACAAGGATGTCAGAATTGTCAGAGAGAATACTTGTACCTTTTCTTCATTTTTTTTCATGAGGTGTATGTATCATTGGCAAGTTGTATTGCCTTTGAACTAAATGTCTTATTTGGCTATTTTAGAGTACAGTTGAGCATCAGTCGATTTGCTGTAGACCTGGAGTCATGTGACTAGACCCAGTAAGGATGGCGGGTTTCATTATCTAAATGACTTGAGAATTAGATTAGTATAACAATCAATGATCGTTTCATGGTCACCATTACTGAAGCAAACTTTCAGTATTGGAACCTAAGTCCCTGAGAGCATTGCACTCAGCCTCTGGTTTACTAGTCCAGTGACATCACTTCTGTCTCTTTCACGTACCATTCCACTTGCTTCACTTTGTGTCCACATGCCCATTTGTTTCTGCTTCACTTGTTTTCTCAGTTTCTAATTTTTTAACCAACTTTTAAGCAGGGCATAACACAATGTTGGAGAATGTTGTGAACCTTAACACTTGAGAATTATGTTAATAAGCAAATTGAAGATGTGTTTCCAACCAGGTGGGGATTAAGCTTGTATTTGTGCTGATATCCCAGTGGCATGTTAATAACATTTTTGATTTTATGTAATTGTCTTTCAAATTCCTAGAAAAATTTGTGACCTGATGTCTCAGTATTTTGTTTTTTTCTTTAGTTGTGCTGTTGCTTAAGAATTTCTTGATTCTAGAAGTTTTCCTTGTCATTTTATTAAATAATCTTCTTGTCTACAGTTGCATTATTGAATTTCTGGTAAGGGTTACTAACGAAGTATGAAATGGTCTCTATAATTTTTCATAACTCAACCTACACAGCTGTTATCCAGAAATCTACTTTATTGGTCTCCACAACAAGATAAAGTAGAATTTTCATAAGATGTAGGAGATGTAGGCCATTCGGCCCATCAAGTCTGCTGTACCATTCAATGAAATCAGAACTGATCTGATTATCCTCAACTCCACTTTCTTGCCTTTTCTTGATGACCCTTGATTCCCTTACAATCAAAAATCTCTCAGCCCTTCAATATACTTAGCCACCCAGTCTCCACAGCTATTTGCAGTAAACAATTCCACAGATTCACTTATCTTCAGAAGAAATTCCTCCTCATCCCTGTCGTAATTGGGTGACCCCTTATTCTGAGATTATGCCCTGAGGTCCTAGACTCTCCCACAAGAGGAAACAATCTTTCTGCATCTATCCTGTCAAGTCCCCTATGAATCTTCTGTGTTTCAATAAGATCACTTTTCATTCTTCCAAGCTCTGGTGAGTACAGGCTCAACATACTTGAACAAAAACAAAAATTACTGGAAAAACTTAGGTCTGGTAGCATCTGTAGAGACAAAGCAGAGTTAATGTTTTGGGTCCAATGACCTTTCTTCAGACTGGACTCAAAACATTAATTCTGCTATGTCTACATAGATGCTGAGTTATAGCATCATACAGCATGGAAACAGACCCTTTGGTCCAACTCGTCCATGCCAACCAGCTTTCCCAAACTGAACTAGTCCCATTTGCCTGCATTGCACCCGTGTCCTTCTAAACCTTTCCTATTCGTGTATCTGTCCAAATATGTTTGAAATGTTGTAATTGTACTCTCCTCTACCTCTTCCTCTGGCACCTCATTCCATACACACACCACCCTCTGTATGTAAAGGTTGCCCCTCAGATCCCTTTAAAATCTTTCCCCTCTCACCTGAAACCTATGCCCTCTAATTTTGGACTCCCCTACCCTGGGAAAACAGACCTTGGCTATTCACCTTATCTATGGCCCTTGTGATTTTATAAACGGTTATAAACCTCAGCCTCCTATGCTCCAGGGAAAAAACGTCCCAGCCTATCTAACCCATCCTTATAACTCAATCACTCCAGTCTCGGTATTGTGCTAATAAATCTTATTTGCATTCTTTCCAGTTTAATAACATCTTTCCTCTAGCAAGGTGACCAAAATTGTACGCAGTACTCCAGATATGGTCTTACCAATGTAGAGTTTTTCCAGCATTTTCTGTTTTTGCTTCTGATAGCCCATATCCACAGTTCTTCGGCTTTTTTGTTTAGTGCCCAACCTACTTAGTCTGTCCACAAGAATATCCCTCCTAACCTGTGATCAACCTTATGAACATTTTCTGGGCTGCCTATAATACCACTGTAGTTTACCTTTAGATAATGGGACCAAAACTGTTCACAGTATTCTGGGTGTTGTCAAACTAATGCTTTGTATAGTTTCAGCAAGACCTGCTAAACTTGTCTGCTAGATTTTTGAGTTGTACACTAGGATTCTGAAATCGCTCAGCACTACAGCCGAATACTCGATGATATTGTGTGCATAATTACCTGTGTCTTAAGATTGGGATGGACAAAGCAATCTTAAATTGGTAATTGAAGGCTGGCTTTTCCATGACTGACCAGTTTCGGCTCTGCTGTATGCATCAGACTGTGATACAATGGTAAATGGAAGGCAGGTAGAGAATTGCAAATTACTGCAGGGTACAGTCAATTTTTTCACTGCTGACCATGTTACAATATCATGCACTTTATTTTAGAATTTAGATGGGTGCTGTTTAATGACAGTTCTTTTATTGCCCTCCAGTCATCTACCTTCCTTTCTTCAAGATACTTTTTTTTTGTTAAACTCATTCATGGGATGTGGGTTTTGCTGGCTGGGCCAACATTTTATTGCCCTTGAGAAAGGTGGTATGAACTACTTGCCTGAACTGTTGTAGTCCATGTGGTACAGCTACACCCACAGTATTATTATGGAGGGAGTTCCGGGATTTTGTCCTGGCAACAGTGAAGGAGTAGTGATTATAGTTCCAAGTCAGGACGGTGTGTGGTCTGGTGGGAAGGGTACCTGCACAAGCCCATATTTAAGTGTAATTATGTAGTAATCTCAGTTACCATTTCAAAGTAGGTTACAACAGAAAGTATCAAAGCCAAGCCTGATGCTGATTGCACCTAATGTCCACAATATATTACGCTTCCTAGTAGGAGTCAACTAATACATATTGAGCTTCAGAATGTTGGCTGACTTTCCCCATCACGCTCTCTGAACTGACCTCTCCACAATCCTGGAATTGCTTCCCCTTCCGAGATGGCCCAACTTTGTATTGCTGCTGTTTATGTCTGGAATTTTGCTGCTTGCTCATAACCACCAAAAACCAAGCCATTGTACAGTGCGCAGTGCTGCTAATTGTAATCTAAATAGGAAATTGGTCTACAAGTTTATTAAGGTTGCATTAAATGCCTTGCACATGAACAATCTAAAAGGTTTTCACAGAAATCCGCAAAAGCAGCTTCACTAACGCCAAGCTCTTCCCCAACCAAGACATTGTTGTTGCTTGGAATTCTTGCTTACTCACTGAAACTACATTCTGCTTGCTGAGCTATTCTTTATGGCTTGTTGTTGTCAGTGGGTCATTTTTAGAAATTTTAAATCAACCTGTTCAGAGATGTTATTATGCACCTGTGGAGTAGGTGGGACTTGAACCAGGGCCTCTTTGTTCAAAGGTAGGGACACTACCACTGCATCACAAGAGCTCTAGTGGATTTTTAAACTGTAGGTCACTCTGCTCATCGTAAAATAAATAATTCAGAACACATGGGAAGAAATTTAAAAGGAATGGACAGAGCAATTCACAATCAACTCCAGTCTATGCTCCTTGTAAGACGGGCCAAAGCTGTTAAAATGGCCCCTAGATGGCACACTGAATTTGGAAATTGATTCACAGTTCTTACAACAGGGTCTGTATAATTTTGCTGCAAAAAAACTTAAAATGCTGGCATTAAAGTGCTTGTCCAAAATTAAAACTAGTTTAAGTGTGCATATTAGATCAATTATTGTATTGTCGTCAAGGACACATTTTCCAAATATGATTTGTTGGTTTTCATTTTTTGCCTTTTTGTTTTGCACTTATTGATACCACCAGCCCAGGTATTTGACTCACCTAAGCTGTGCCCTTGAATTCATTCTGGAAATCAGAAAGACCTCTCTGCTGTAGCATTCAAACCCCAGTTCAAGTCTGAGCAATAACTCCCTGTGGTCTCCAAAATCAGTCATGAGACAAAACTGTGAAACGAAATTAATTGGCATTTGAAAAAAAAGTATGTTATTTAATTAAAGCACAGTGGAGATCATCAAGTTCTTTGAAATATTAGATGAGAATCCAGAAAGTTGTTTGACAAAATATATACGAAGGTGTGTAAAGTCTATAGCATTAAAAATACAATGGCAGCATAGATATTTTAAAATTTGGTAAAAGGATAGGAAGCAGCATAGTGGTATATGGTTATTTTACAAACTGGGCAGTATATATTGGTGTTCCCTCAATGATAGCATTAGAACTACTGTTGTTGTATCAGTAACTTAAAATTGGGCTTTTGGGCATAATTTCAAAATGTACAGTTGATTTTTAAAAAAATCTCAAATGTAGTAAACAATGAGGAAGGTGATAAATTTCAGGAGAACAAGCACGCTTTGGTGAAATGGGTAGCCGTGATGGATGAACACAACTGAGTATGAAGTGTTACGTTTGGGTAAAAAGAACAAAGAGATGCAACATGAGCAAAATGGTATAAGCTAGGATTTGCAGGAACAGGGAAATGGGGGAGGTCCATGTGCACAGATCTTTTGAAGTTGGTTGACCAAATTGAGAAGGTTTTTGTTTTAAAATGGGATCCATAACTTTATTAATAAAGTGAGGAAGTTGTGCTAAACACTTAAAAAGCACTGGCTATGCTAAAGTATTGTGTTCAGTTCTGGGTACTGTGCTTCAAGAAAACTGACAAGGCTTTGAAGAGAACCGAAAGAACTGCAGACGCTGTAAATCAGGAACAAAAACAGAAGTTGCTGGAAAAGCTCAGCAGGTCTGGCAGCATCTGTGAAGAAAAAATCAGAATTAATATTCCAGGTCTGGTGATCCTTTCTCAGAAGCTGGGTTGTGTCGAGGTTGTTGAATATCATTTCTTGCCCGGAAGATGGTCCTTATCTCTGATTGTGTAGACTAGCCTGATATTAGTTTGTGATTGTGCCAATATATACACACAATCTATTTCCAGTCTTGGTTATATCAACAGGAGGAATCGCCAAACCAAGACTCGTGCTTTTTCACTTGGAGGGAAAATCAAAAGACCATGAAACACAATTGATCCCTGAACCAATAAGCTAAACCCATTGTTATTTTAAGAAAAAAAGTTGCACAACCAAAGCTACTAGTCCTGGCGCCACAGGAAGAGATTTTGTGATCAACGTTCGTGTACCAATTAACCAGGGTAAAAGAGGAAGCTGAAAGAAAGCTTTCAGGAAAAATGCCAGAAAGCATATTTAGTCCCTGAAACAGATTCCTTCCCCAAGCTATTGACACAGGAAGTATATCTATCACTTCATTGCTCATTTCTCTCACCTTTTGTGTATCAATTTCATTTCCAATTTCCATCCTGCTCTCACCTTCACCTGATCCATCTCTCACTCCTCTCTTCCCTTCCTCGACATCTCTGTTTCAGTTTTTGGGCTTAGGCTGGCCATCAATATCCACTATAAGCCCACCAACTCTCACAATTACCTGAATTACACATCCTCGTACACTATTCCATTCTCCCAGTTTCTTCATCTGTCGCATCTGTTCTTATGATGCCACCTTCTGCAAGGGACCCTCAGGAATGTCCAGCTTTATCCTCACGATAGAAGCAAATCACTGCTGATGCTGGAATCAAACTGAAAACAAAAAGTGCCGGAG